AATCTTGATAGAAATTGCTAGAAAGGTAGAGTGATTTACATTCCCAGCAATAATGCACAAGAATGCTAGTTTTCTATACCTGTGCCAACTTTGATGCCTTTGATCATCTGATGAGTGAAAATGATGTCTCACTTTGTTTTAATTTGCCTTTCTTTAATTATTAATGAAACTAAATATTCCCATAGATTTAAAGGTTTTTGTTGTTGTTGTTGTTTTTGTTTTTTTGTTAGTGGGCTGCTTGCCTATTTCTAGGGTTGGGTCATTTTTATTATTGGTTAATAATAGTTGCCAAAATTTTGCCCATTTAGCTGCTTTACCTAGGTTTTTAGATCTTATAGTAGGATTTTTAAAATAGGTAAGATATTGAAAGAAGCAGTTCATTTCTTCCACATTTCAAGGCTGCTCCTGAATTCAGGGATTAGTGACTGATAGCTTTTTATATTCAGATGCTCTTTTTACTATCTTCTAGTGCTGTCCTTTTATTCTAAGATATGTTCCAGTTTCCTGAGGTTTATGAATTTGACTTTGGTACTGCTTACCTAAGATATATGATATAGACATTTACATAATAATTAATAAAATAACATGTACTAAAACCAATAAAAATGACTAAGGTAGAACTTATAGAATACATAGGATCTTTATGAGTACTGCCACTATACGAGGGAAAGAACTCTGGCCAGAGAGCTATCTTCCAACCAATGTCTTAATTTTCTATAAATGTGAAAAGTGGGGACCAAGCTGGACTGGACTAGATACGGCTAGATTATTGGTCCCTGTGATTCTGTAACTATTTCCCCTGTGGTTTTTTCATTTTGTTTTTAGTTATTCAAAAATTTTTAATTATGGAAAATACATGTAACATAAAATTTATCACTGTAACCATTTTAACTGTATAGTTCAATGCATTCTGTGCAACCAATCTCTAGAACTATTTCATCTTGGAGAGCTGAAACTCTACACCCATTAAACTACTTCTGCCTATTCCAGCCTCTCTCCAGTGCCTTGGCAGTCTCTCTTCTTTGAATTTGACTAGTCCAAATACTTCATACAAGCAAAATCACATAGTGTTTTTTTTGTGATTGGTTTATTTCATTTAGTATAAGATCCTCAAGTTTCATCCATGTTATAGCATATAGAATAATTTCCTTCCTTTTTAAGGCTGAATAATACTCTATTTTATGTGTACACATGTTGTTTATCCACTCATCTGTCAACAGACACTTAGGTTACTTCCACTTTTGGCTTCCACTTTTTTATGAATGGTGCTGCTATGAACATGAGTATACGAATATCTCTTTGAGACCCTGCTTTCAATTCTTTTGGATATATACCCAAAGCTATGCTTTATTTTTAAATATAACTTAGAGATAGAATATTAAAACACCTTACCATAGCCTTCCTTTCCATATGCAAATGAAGGGGGTATAATCACTTTCCGCTTCTCTCCAGGGCACATATCCATCATGGCAATGTCTAGCCCTTTTATGACTTGCCCAACACCAAGAACAAACCATTTGGGGTGGCCTTCATTTTGTGTCCGGCTATAATAAAAAACAATACTTAGGTAAGCTGATTTTAAGAAAAATGAAATAAAACTTTAAAATACACCTGGACGGGATGCCTGGGTGGCTCCGTCAGTTAAGTGTCTGCCTTTTGCTCAGGTCATCATCCCAATGTCCTGGGATTGAGCCCCACATTGGACTCCTTGCTCAGCTGGGAGCCTGCTTCTCCCTCTGCCCGCTTCTCCCCAGTTGTGCTCTTTATCTCTCCCTATGACAAATAAATAAAAAAATCTTAAAAAAGATAAAATATTTCTACACATGAGGTTATAATTTAAAATTGGGAGTCCTTTCTTTTTTCTCAAATTAATATTCATTCTGAACCTCCTGGCAGGATGTTTGGCTCAAACTTCCTTCAAAATAGCCAGAAAGAAGTATGATTTGCCCAAAGCTAATCATTAGGAGTCATGTCATCATCTTTTTTATGGCCATCTTGCAAAAACTATTCAATAGTTACCTTTTTAATGAATGGGTCTCTGGCCTCTAACTAGCTGCATGGCTTGTCCAAATAACTCATTCAACCTTTCTGAGTTTGTTCTAAAAACTGATGGTGCAGGTTTAACCTCAAAAAGTCATTTGAACAATAACTAAAATTTGTATCTTTTCTTACTAAATTTATCTGTTTTCTTCCAAATGAAAAGAACTAACTTTCCCCAATCCTATCTTTAGAGGGTTATAGCACAGATGAAGAAAAGCCATTCTTCCTTTGAGTAGTAAAAAGATCAATTAAATCAGAGCAGGCAGTGGTGAGATTATAGGGGTGAGATGAGAGAACACAGGGCCCAGAAGACACCAGGGAAAGTTATTGTTGTGGTTTTTGGATACAGTTGGAAAGTGGTCCATAGTCTGTAAATATCATGCTTCTGAAGCTTCTTAACCTACCCTACCCAATCCTCTGTAAAGAGGCTCCAAAAAATGGCAAAAGAAAATGTTGAGAACATCCTTACAGACAGTACCATAACTTACCCTTCCATGGATCCCAAGGGTGGTGGCAGTGGCCGGGGTGCGTCTGTATGTCGTGTATTTCCGATAATCTCGTGGGCCACCATTTTTAATAATTTAAAAAGTAATAGTTCAATAGGGAACTACTGCATATCAGTAGGAATTCCCCCCTCCCCCGGAATAAAAGGCTCAACTCTTGCTGTTAAATAACGAGAACCAATCAACCAACCACGTAGCTTCTGGTTAGCAGAGGAAGCCTAGATTTCATGCATCAACTGGACGCCAGAGCAGTTCACAGCATTTCCTACCTGCAGTAAAACTTCGAACCGTCTTCAGCCAAGAAGCCGTCGTAATGGGCATTTAGCAGGTCTCCCTTCTTGCTTGTCTTAGAACAGTTTTCTGGACGATGCAAAACTTCGATCTTCACTTCCTCTGTGCTTTCCTCTTCCTTTTGTCCCTGAGCGGTAAAAATGCCCCATATATAAAAGAAAACGATTAATCTTAACAGAAACGGCATGATTCCTGAAGTTGGCCTCAGATGACCACGGCGTTCTTTCACGCGTGTCAGTTGTACCCAGTCGCTGCCACTGCAGCTGAGTTCCGACGCGTGGCAGGCATTGTTCTACGTCACAAAGGACTGGGGGCGGTGCGCCCTATAGCCCCGCCCCCTTCGGGCTGCGCGCTCAGCCTCAAGAATTTTCGTCTGTCCGCCCAGGTTCCGTCCCTCTGGTACCCGAGGCTTTGGATCGCTGTCATTAGTCGTTAAGGCAGTACTGAACACTTGCACCGCTTCTTGTTAAATCCGCATATTTTACAGAAGATTTCCTCAGAGTTCGCTGGTAATGATCTCGTTTCCTAAAATGAAACAGGCAAAAGAATTAAACGGCCTGGTAGTGGGATGTTGTAGTCAGAGAATACGGCTGTCATTTCTGGGCGTACAAGGTTTCTCCTCAGACCCACAGGGCACTGGCAGGCATCTGGGGAGGCATTCTGCTTCTGGTATGCCCTTGAAAGCACCTTCACGGGGCGGAGTCACGCCTTAAGGGGTCCCAGCCTAAGCCACACACCATCTGACGGCCACCTGGTCGGGAGTAAACAAAGGTGGTGCTGCTCCTCTACCGTTTAAAGGCGTTTCCCACCAGCCAACTCCGGCGATTTGGGGACCTGCTGCTGGCGGCCTGGGGCTGCCTTCGATTTGAGAGCCCAAGGGAGTTGGGGGAAAACCTGACGGTGTCCCTTCTCTTACCAGCTCCGCGAGGTTGGTAACCATCCACTGTGCATAGATGAGGAAATGAAATTATTTGAGTATTTGGCCTTTTCAGTCTCACAGCTAATGTACAGTAGGGATTTCACCAAGTTTGACACAAAACCAGCCTTTACCCCACCCAACATTTTAGTATGAAAAACTTTCAAACATACAGAAAAACTGAATTTTATTACCCCATTCTTGCGGCCTTCCAGCCACCACTTGGATTCTGTCATTAACTCGTAACTATATTCGACTTTTTTACGCCACCATCTACCCATCTCTGTACCCGTTCACCAATTCACCTGATTTTCAAGTGAAAACCCAAAGACTATTCACCCAAACCAGAAAAGCTTCAGCGCAGGCCTGGATTAGGTTCTGGAAAGAGAGAGTTCGTTCTACCTCGTGTACCTCGGCCCTGCTAAGCGAAACCGCAGCACCGAGCCTGCCTGGCTTAAAGCCTGTAGCATTTCATAAATCTGAATTATTGTCATTATGTAAGATGATCATTTCCAAACAGGATTTCTTAAAATCACAAAAGCTAGGGGAAAGTCTTTATTTCTAGAAAAAAATAAATTCCAATTTTGGTTCCGTGTTTTATATTCTAAATGAAGTCGTGGCTATCTAAGGTTAATTGTCGGCGTGGTGACTGTTCTTGGGGCCCCTCACGGTTCCTTGCCGGAGGGCTCGTAGCGGCACCCCGAAGGATATCTTCCTAGGAGATAATTTCTTGGGCTCTCTGAATTTGGGGAGGGTACGAGGGAAACAGAAATGGGTAGTCTTTCACGTTCTTGAAACAACCACCGGAAGGACCTGAGGCTCGGCGATAGGAAAACCTACCGCGCACCAGGACATGTGCTCGGGCAGTTAGTCGGCGCTACGGGGGGCCAAGAGCGCCGCGGAGTCCGAGTCCGCCGGCCAGGGCTCGGAGGCTTTAGCCCCACGGCGTGGTGGGTCCATGCCTCCCTGGGGCGGGGGGAGAAGTGTGGGGAGTCCCCGGACCGCCGGCCGAGGGCCTGAGGGAGAATGAGGAGGAGTCAGGCGGCCAGACTGGGAGGTTAAGGGTGCGCCGCGGTTGCCAGCCCTCTCCTGCAGCCTCCAGCGCCGCGACCCGGCAGCCAGGCCGCGCCCGCTCCTCCAGCCCCGCCGCCGGGGAGGGGTTTCCCGGGACGAGCCGGCCCCTTTCATCCAGGAAGTGAAAGCGACGTCGGGGTCAATGAAAACAAACGGGGAGCCCGGGGGGGTGGGAAGGAAGGCAGGCGAGGAGGAGGGAACGCCGGGGCGCGGGAGGGAACAGCCGTGTGGTGGAAGCGCGAGCCGAAGGCGGGTTGCGGTCGTGATTTTGTCGCCGCCGCCGCCGAGGCTCGCCCGGGGATGTCTGAGTCCGCGCCTCGCGGCCCCCGAGCTTCACGCGGCAGTCGCCGCCCGGGCCTCTAAGGGCCGCCACGTCCCGGCGGTGCGCGCGCGGGCTCAGGGAGGCTCGGTGCCGGCGGGGTTGCCCGGGGAGTGCCGGGGCGGGCCGGGAGGGGCTGCCCAGGCTCCGCGCCTACCCAGCACCGCGGCCGGCGCCCGGCCAGGAGGATGCGCGGCGCCGGGCTCTGAAGCATGGAGGGGGTTCTGTACAAGTGGACCAACTATCTCACAGGTCAGAGGGCTCGGGTACCCGGCGGGGGCGGGGGGGTATTGGCGGGGAGAGGCGGGGGCCTCCGGCGGGTTTATGTGGGGAGGCTGCGGAAAAAGAGGGTCAGGGGCCTTTCCGTCTGCTTGGCCTGCAGTGACCCTCGCGGAGAATGGGCTCCTTTGGCTTCCCGGGCTTAATCCTTCCCTCCGTCCCTTGTTAGAACTGGCCTCTGCAGGGGACGGTTCGAGACTGCGCACCTTCCTGGCGGTGGGAAGTGTGCCTGACCACTTCTTTCCCCGTGTAATAATGCTTATTTCCTCCCGTGGCTTCGGTAACAATTTCCAGTCACTCTGCATGTGTTGTTGCAATCTCCATCCTTATCCACACTTGATTCTGCATTTTGTTAATAACTGAGTTGTCAGGGTGTAGGACTAGAATGGATCCTGTAAGATCAAGATTTAATTTTAGGGAAACTTTTCTATATATTTTTTTAAATTTGTAGAAAATTTTAGCACGGTTTATTTTAAAAGTTCTCTTGTTAAAGTTGTTAAACTGTTCCCAGATAACATTCTCTTAAGAGTTGGTTGTCCGCGTGCTATCTTTATGTTTTGGAATTAAGGTAAGTGTGAGAAATAGTGGAGGACGGTGCAGTACACAGAAGTGGAACAGTCAGTGTCACCATGAAGCAGGTTGGAAGGAAAAACTCCCAAGAATTTGTGTTTCTGTAGAAATGAGAGACCAGCAGGGAAGGGGCTTTTTCCGTGACACCAAGAGCCTGGCCCATTTAAAGACCCTTAATTCTGGGGGCGCCTGGGTGGCTCAGTGGGTTAAGCCTCTGCCTTCAGCTCAGGTCATGATCCCACAGTCCTGGGATCGAGCCCCGCGTCGAGCCCCGCGTCGAGCCCCGCGTCGAGCCCCGCGTCGAGCCCCGCGTCGAGCCCCGCGTCGAGCCCCGCGTCGAGCCCCCTGCTCCGCAGGGAGCCTGCCTCCACCTCTCTCTCTTTCTGCCTGCCTCTCTGCCTACTTGTAATCTCGGTCTGCCAAATAAATAAATAAATTCTTTAAAAAAAAAAAAAAAGACCCTTAATTCTGAGTTGTAGTCCCATCTCTGCCATCAACCAACAGTAAGGACAAGTCACTTGCCCTCTCAGGATCTCAGTTTGTGAAGTACAGGATGGTCAATTAGTTTATCTTCAAAGGTGCCTTTCAACTCCAGAATTCTATGATCTCAACACATTAGAGGAAAGGAAGTGAATTTAAAGGAAGATTAAGTAGAAAATAGATTTCTTGTTCTAGTGTAATATAGACATCTTGATTCCCTACCCACTTCTATACTCTGCCCAAAGTATTGAAAAGTTACCCAAAGTTAGCCTTGGTAACTGCAGGTACACTCAACTTGTGTCCACCCTTACCATGTGCAAAATCTGCCCATAAACACTTTAGGGCATAAGCATTGAGCTAGGGTTGCTCCCTCCTTCCTTCCTTCCATCCTACCTCCCTACCTTTCTTTTTCTCTTTTTCTTTTCTTTTTTCTCTCTTTCTTTTCTTTTCCTTCTTTCTCTCTCTTCCCTTCTCTGTCTCTTCTTTCTTTCAGATTAACTAGAATGCTAAAGCCTGATTTATAGCAGCAAATGCTTTAACATTTATCATACATGCATGTTTTATTTTGCTCATTTGACATTTGCTCATTAAAATGTCAAACAGTTTGTTTCTATAAATAACATGTTTTAGCAGGAAGCTTTTAAAAACCAAGGTATGTATTTTTTCTTAAGCATTTTTTTGGGGCAATTGTGAGAACAGTTACCCTGTTTACTTGAAATACGGTATTAACTTTAAAGACGGTGGTTTCTATGCTTTGAGATGCAAATGATCATCTCATTGCAAACTTTCATAAACATTGTGTCTACAGTGTCTTGGGAGGAACCACTTAATGCTAGCCTAGAGCAATGGGTGATTACTGACATGAGTCATAATTTATTCCTGGAGCGAAATGTGGTATTGGTGGCCATCTTTCTCATGTAGGGCACTGAGCACCAGCTGGTTGAGCTTTTAACCACATGTGCTTAAGCTTTTAGTCTTTGCAGAGCATTTAAGCTAACTGCTAGTATGCATTGTAGAAGCTTGCTGGAAGGAAATCTTTGTTTGGAAGAATTCCATTTTAAAAATATAAATTTGACTTGGTGGCATGATGATTATTAATTTTAGTTCATCTTAGGTCAGAAGAATGAGCAGCTGTTTGTACTGAATGATCTTGAAGGAACTTTTTAGTTTCATGACAGTGTTCTTTGAGAATGTGTTCTTTGTAGAGTATAAGGATTTCAGTAACATTTGGTAGTTGGAGATAAAATGAAAGTTGTTTTTTTTTCTTTTTTTTAAGAATGCCTCTGAATCTTTTTCAAAGAGATATAGTCTTCTGTTATATAAATGTGTGAATCAATTAGATTGTTTTAATTAAACATTTCTTCAAAAAGGTGTGTAGAGATAACAGTCTCAATTATTTTATTAAGCATGATTAGCTTTCAAGTTGCTACAAATTATAAATGAGTCATTTTACTCATTTGTTTTAAACAGATATTGAATCTCAATAATGGAGGCTTACAAAATCACAGTTTGTCTTATAGGCACCCTGGACATGGGGCGGAGTATACTTTTACCACCCTGCTTATAATTTGTTTGCCACAGTGAATTAGTGTTTGGAAAGATAATGTTTTCACCATTTCTGTACATACTCAATATACAACATATACTCATGCAATATATTGCATATCTTTACTCTCATGGATAACATGTAATATCTCACTTTTCTAGTATTTAATCACAGGTTTAATCATTGATACTTTTTTTTTTTTTTAGCACCTATTATGTGCCAGGCACATTCTAGGTGCTGGGAATGTAATGATAAACAAGATAAAGTTCATGTACCAAAAGACTTTAACGTTTTAATTTGCTAGGCCTTATTAGGAGTTGTAGTGTTTCATAATAAGATTTTTTCTAGTGTTTGAAATGTATTTTAATTATTTTGGATATCCAGCTTTCTGAACTGTATTATGACATTCCCTCTTCTGAAATTTAACCTTTTTATGATGACTCGATGCTGTCATTTCAAAAGTGTTACAGGAAAAGCCATTTGGGGAGATAAGTCCTGCGTTTGTATCGGGGGGTAAGAATGAATCTCCCATCTGCCACTGTCTTGGTACTCTTTGGCCCTGGAAAAACTGAATTGATTAAGCATATAGCAGGCTGTGTCTAATGTGACCAGGCTGAATTGTGATTTAATAGTTACAGAAAGAACAAGGAGAGTCACACTGGCTTCAGTGAGGCACTGTGGTCATGGTCACTCTGTTATTAATCAGTGAACTGTTGTAAATTAGTAGCATGCTTGATAAGATTTTAGGGATCACTGAGTTTGGCTTGTAAGAGTAGCATTTGAACTCTGAGGAAAGCCATCAACCTCATTCTCAGCTTTGCCTTAGAGCCAAGTCTGTGACAGTTGTGTGATCTAGTCATTGAGTAAACACAAATGAAATGAATGATTGCAGTTTCTAGCATTTCTGCCTGAGCTGTGTACAGCAAGGCAAGGAGAGAGGGAATGTGGGAAATCCATGTTATCACCACAGAATATGCAGCTTCTGTGGAAGAGATTAGAATTCATTCAACACTCACTTGTGCAGGAGAGTTTGCTTAGGCTACATGTAGAAGAGGGAAGGTCACATTGCAGAATTGAAAGGCACCTGAGAGGTCATCTTGTTCAATCCCTCATGGAGACTGAGAATTTTTGATATTTACTGAAATGGAAAGATTTTTTTCAGCTTATCTAACTAAAGAGTGAGAATAGAACTGGGGCTAGAATCTGTGTTTCTGTTGCTTTTTTCATTATGTTGAAACCCAACTCTATTCCCTTCAGGAAAAGGGGGAAGTCATGTTTTACCCTGTGTAGGGTTATTATAATATTATTATATTATTATAACATTATTGAAGATGAGTCTCATGGGTTGTTAATAAGAAGGTTGTGAGTCAGAATACAGGTGTTACTCCCTATATTTATGCTGATCAACAGATTTCTGGAGAAGGCTCTCCTAGCAAAGTGGGATTGCGGCAAGAACATTTTGGGTTAAGACTTGGCCATTAAAAATTTCATTGTCAGAATGTTACTTTAGAACCAAGGAAACATGGATGACAAATCTTAGAAATCATATACTTCTATGTGATTAAAGTAATTTCTTATTAATCTTTTGTTATTTATAATCTTTGTAGGTTGGCAGCCTCGTTGGTTTGTTCTAGATAATGGAATCCTGTCCTACTATGATTCACAAGATGATGTTTGCAAAGGGAGCAAAGGAAGTATAAAGATGGCAGTTTGTGAAATTAAAGGTAAGTGAATACATGGAATTAGAGAAACTTGAAGTTAGGTAAGTAAAGCATTCTTCATTGTAATCTAAAAAGAGGAAAAAAAGCATTTCTAGTCCAATAGAGATCTTCTAATATCATCTATTTGCTTAGCAATTAAGAGTGGCACTTTAGCATTATTAAGCACAGTTTTTTGCATTTCTCCTTTTATACATGTACTTTGAATTGAAATTCAAAAATCTCAGTGTTGGTCTTCTAATTTGGACCTGAAAAACAGTCTCTTGGGGATGCTATTTCAATAGCATACGGAGTCCACAAGTGTTTTCTTTCATTCTCATTGTAAAGGTATTGTGAAGATTAGAAGCTGAGCTTTAAAGATGATGAGGCAGGGCGTCTGGCTGGCTCAAGATGGTAGAGGTACAACTCTTGATCTTGGGGACATGAGTTCAAGCCCCACGTTGGGCATAGAGCTTATTTAAAAAAAAAAAAATAAAAGCTGAAGATAATGAGGCAAGCTCTGTATAGTTTTTGATAAAACATGAAGTCAGAGTCATAAATTCTGTTCTTTGCTGAATCAGAGATAAGCTCTTCTGGGGAATAGAGATATTTTCCTTTTCTTCCAAAAGAGAAGAAATAAAGTGATAGGTCATGCTGTAATTTTCATGATGGAAGGTTTCATAGACCGTTGATTCATTTGGACATGTGATTGGGTTATGTGTGGGGGGTTCAGGTAGGTAGGAGAGATCAGACAAAATGATAAAAAGTACTGAATTCTTCAGGGAATTGAAGGAAAAACTAAAACACTAGAGGAGTGAATATCAAACACCTACAGGCCTTTTTCATTTTTACTCTGTAGCTTGGATACTTGTCCTTCCTGAAGAGTACTTCTTTTGACACGGTGAGCTCTTGGTCATAGCTGTCAGACACTTCAGAGTAATCTCACTGCTTTGTGCATTTTCTTATTTAGATTAAACCAAAGCAGCAGCTAATGCATTATGTTACATTTTCCAGGGCTGGACCGCTAAATTTGTGTGGAATCGTGGTAGTTTATTGTATGATTTAGCCATGGAGACAAAATAGAATTTTCACTTGCTACACATCTGGTTCTTCACATTCATTTAAGACTTCCTACCACTGGGACTCTTTCAACAGCAGTGATTCATAACTTGGGGTAGATCAGTGTCATCCAGGGAGCTTCCTCCAAAATGCACATGTCTGCCAAGTGATTGTAACACGCACCCAGTAGTTGAGAATTACTGCTGTTCTAATGGAAATCATGGCTATCTAAGATAGAGAAACACTTCAGCCTAGTTTTTTGTTACTGCATGTTCCCTGAAATATATGTGGTATAATTTTGTTGTTTATTTTTAACAAACATACTGAAATGTATACCAATAAGTGTTAGCTTTCCAGGTACTCACTTTTGATGTACTTATTTTTAACTGCACCATCATCACCTGTAACACTTCAGAACTCCTCTTTTAGAATTACCATATGGGGGCCCCGGGGTGGCTCATTCAGTTAAGTAGTTGCCTTTGGTTCAGGTCATGATCTCAGGGTCCTGGGATCAAGCACCACATCAGGCTTCCTGCTTGGCAGGGAGTCTGGTTCTCCCGTCTGCTGTGCATGCGTGCGCTTTCTCTCTCTCGCATGTAAATAAATAAAATCTTAAAAAAAAACAGAAAGAATTGCCTTATGAACCAATTTATAAATTGCACAAGAAAAGCACAAAGCATAAGGTTTTTTTTTTTTTTTTAAGATGATGGTTTTATCTTATTTTATTCCCCAGATTTGATTCCAAATGATATTTGGTGAGAGTCAGAAATCAAACTACAAAGTTCAAAGATTCTCCACCCTTGGGGATATTTAAAAAACTTAGTAGTAGAATCCCAAGGCAATTCTAAAATGTTTCAAGCTATGGCAGCATTTTTGCTGTTGTTGTTTGTTGGAAGTAATCATTCTATTCAAGAATAACATACAGAAAAGGGAACAGATCTTAAATATTCAGCTCGAAGAATGTTTACAAAGTTCACACACTCGTGTAATCATCAATCAGAATAAGAATTCAAATATTAGGGGCACCTGGGTGGCTCAGTCTTTAAGTGTCTGCCTTCAGCTCAGGTCATGATCCCAGGGTCCTGAGATCAAGCCTCACATCGGGCTCCTTGCTCGGCGGAAAGCCTACTTCTCCCCCTCCCACTCCCCCTGCTTGTGTTCCCTCTCTTGCTGTGTGTGTCTCTGTCAAATAAATAAATAAAATCTAAAAAAAAAAAAAAAAAGAATTCGGATATTATTAGCATTCCAGATGCTGGGATATTATCCTGCCTCCTCAGCCACTAATCCCTCTAAAAAGTAACCATTAATCTTTTATTGTCATAGATAAATATTGCCTACTTTTGAACATTTTATAAATGGAATAAATCAGTATTTATTTATAAATCAGTATTTATTTATTTCTTTATATAAATAAATAAATAAATCAGTATTTATTTATTTCAGTGTGTGTTGGCTTCTTTTACTCAACATTGTGGAATTCATCCTTGTTCTGTGTAATGGTAGTTCAGTCATTCGTATTGATTTGTAGTATTTCTGCTGTATGAATATCCCACAATTTGGCTATCCATTTTAGTATTGATGTGTATATATGTTTTTCCATTTGGGATTATAATGAGTAAAGCTGCCACACAGATTCTTATATATTTCTTTTGTTGAACATATGTATGCATTTCTCTTCAGTATATATCTGGAAGTGGAGTAGAATTGCTGAGGCATTCTGTATTCATACATTTAGCTTTAATAGAATTATAAGGAGAAAATTATTCTTGACACTTGCTAGTAAGGCCGACTTTATTCAGGTCTCTTATGATAGGTATAGGGACTACTGCAATGGGGTTTTGCAGTAGGGGATAGAGATTGGGCTCAACTCTGAATATGATAAGAAAAGTGGAAATTTGTAGCCAAGGAGTGGCGGGGGTGGGGAGATTGGTGGATGGAAAATTACTAAGAGAAGATATCAGGGAATAGGGGCCATTCTGGCTAAACCGATCTTAAGGATTCTTGCTGAAGGCTGGCCGGAGTGATCAGATATTACCTGGAGTATGTTGGGGGTAGAGGAATTTGTTCAGACATTGGGGGTAATCACATATTGATGGTGGAGGATTCTGGCTAAACTGACTTAGCGGAATTCCTGCTAAAATTGGACCCTGTAAGGACAGAGATGGAAGCCCAAGGTCAGGCCTAGTCAAGCAGAGGGAACCTGACTAAAGTTCGATCAAGGAGAGAAACTTTGTCACAGATAATGCCAAGCTATTTACCAAAGTGGTTGTATCAGTTTAATCTTGAACTAGCAGAGCATGAGAGTTCCAGTTGCTTTGCATTCTTTCCAAAACTTGATTATCAGTTTTAAATTTTTTGAATATTTCTAGTGTATATAATGGTATCTCGTGGTGGTTTTAACTTGTATTTCTTCAATAACTGATGATGAGGTGTTTTTTTTTCAGATATTAATTAGCCATTTGAGCATTTTCTTCTTTTGGAGTCCCTTTTCAAGTCGTTAGCCTAATTTCTACATTGGGCTATCTTTCATGTTGATTTGTAGGAATTTTTTATATAGTCCGAACGAGTCTTTGTATTGTGAGGGTCTTCTTCCACTTTGTAGGTTTCATTTTCTTTCTATTAAAGGTATCTTTTGATAAACAGAAATTCTTAATTTCAATAAAGTCCAATTTTTCAGTTTTTAAAATTAGAGCTTTTTATGTCCTGCTGAGGAAATCTTTTTTCTTCTTGAAGGCTTATTGTTTTACCTTGTCTGTATTAGGTCTGTGATTGACTTAAAATTTATTTTTATATATGGTATCAGCAGGGGTTAAGATTCATTTTTTCTTAAAAGGATATTCAACTGACTTAATATCAATTATAGAAAATAGCAGCCTTTCACCTAGTGCACTGTAGGAATGTCTTTGTCACAAGGTGAGTGACCATGTACATTGGGTCTTTTTCTGGACTGTCTTTTGTTCCAAGGACCTGCTTTATATCCTTGTGCCAATATCACACTGTCTTAATTTCTTTAGCTTTATAATTCCTCGCATCTGATCGTCTAAGTCTTCTAACTTTGTTCTTTTTCAGTATTGTCTTGGCTATTATTGGTCCTTTACATTTCCTTAATGCATGTTAGAATCTGCTTGTAAATTTCCACAAATGTCTGCTAGAATTTTGACTGGCATTGTATTAATCTATACATCAATTTGGGAAGAATTGTGTTCTTGACAGTACTGAGTCTTATGATCTATTAACATGGTATATTCCTATATTTAATTAGGTTTTTAATTTCAGTAATGTTTTACATATTGCATATAGAGGTCTTGTCCATTTTATGCTAAAGAATTCGGTGTTTTGGGAGCCTGGTACTTAAGTTTGTTGTCTTCTCAGGTGACTACTTTGGAGGGGATATCCTTGGTTAATACACTAATTTTGGTATGTTTTAAAAGGAATCATCTTTGAGCATCTGGCTGGCTAAGTGGGTGGAGCATGCAACTCTTGATCTCAGGGTTGTGAGTTCAAGTTCCACACTGGGCATGGATCCTACTTAAAAAAAAAGAAAAAAATGGAGTCATCTTATTTTCATTTGTAGCAACAATTATTAGAAATTTGAGGTTGGTTTTCTTTTGAGGTAGCTACTGATACTTTCACTAGTATTAACAAGTAGCCAAAAAAGAGTTACTCTTGGAGCCTGGGGGTTTTATCCTAGTTTGGAAATCTTTTGCACCCATCATTGAATGTTGCATATTTATGTATTTCACTATCTACATCCAAGGATGGTCTTTTTAAGTAGAATAATAAGCTAGCCAAGCTTTTTTGGCACTATTTGCCATAGTACCTCTGATCAGTATTTTCAGTAATTAATCATATAAATTAAGGCTTCTTCCAGACTTTCAGGGTCCCTGAAAATTGGGCTCAACTCAGCTTGTCCATTCATGAATATCATTACCATGTAATACAACACAAGGCTCTATTTAGGCTTGTTTCCTCCCTACATATTGTGTTTATTTCCTCATCTAGGCCTTTTTTATGCAGTTTTTCTCTTAACTAAATCCTACTGTTGTCAGATCCTTCTTCCTGAAGGCTTATTTCCTACCTTTTTTTACTTTTTCTCAGTTCAATTACATATGGTGTCTTCATACCAAAGAGTTTATCATTTGGTTGTTTTGATTATTTTTAGTGTGTCAGTTTGTTTCTCTGGCTAAAGTGTCAGCTCTGTTAGAGCAAAGACTCCTTTCTTTCTCCTCTCCTATTTTCCCCCTCTACCGTCACTCCTCTGAGCTGAGTAAATGCTTGTTGATTAAGGACGATGTAGCACAAATTTAGTCTTACAACAAGGATTGGGGATTGGCTCACTGTGATCCTTGATTAGTTCTCTTTTGTCAGAGTATCAAGGCGGGGGTGGTTTAGGAGAGCAGGGAGGATGGTAGGAAAGAGAAGGTCTCAAATACTCATGATGTGCCCTTAGTTGAGGACTGCTGTGCTAATGGAAGGTGGCCTTAGCTACCATGTATTGGGCTTCTTCTGAATGTCAGGCACTGTCCTAGGTTTGGGGGATAAAACACAGCCTTTGCTTTCAAAGAAATCAGTAAAACCTGTGTGATAAGTGTGACAGTGCCTGTATATCGAAAGTAGTACAGGCACCCCCCAGAGAGGGAGTTTTTTAGTTGTCAGTGCTGTTTTCTCTTTCTCTTGCCAGCACCACTTTGGCGCCCTGCCAGCGTGAATATGTGAGCATGTGGTTTTGAGAGGCCACTAGACAGCCCTTTAGGGAGAGGCAATGCCTGCATCCTGAAGCTCGACTTCTTGTTTTAGGTGTCTGAAACCTCTAACACTGTGTACGAGTGATTGTTTGATTCTTCCCTAATTACTTAAGTTCATGACTGTATTTCCCCCATGTTTATCATCATAGTCCATTCAGCAGACAACACAAGAATGGAATTAATCATTCCAGGCGAGCAGCATTTCTACATGAAGGCGGTGAACGCGGCGGAAAGACAGAGGTGGCTGGTTGCTCTGGGGAGCTCCAAAGCCTGTTTGACTGATACTAGGACAAAAAAAGAAAAAGGTAAACTATATATTTTTCTTTTGTGATGAGAATATTTTCTTAAACATAAATGTATAGTGTCTTGTGCACTTTTAGTCATCTGTCCTAAAGACATAATCAGACATGTAGAAGATGATTTACATGCTTAGATGCTCATTATAGTAAAAAAAAAAAAAAACTTGTGAGCAATGCAACGGTTGAAATTTAGGGGAACAGGTCAATAAAGTATAGGCTGATATAAGCTGATATGTAGCCAGTAGAATGTTTGCAAGGAATTTTAATAATGTGAGAAAATGCCCAACATTAAATGATAATTGGAAAAGAGCAGGATTCAAAATTACATATCCATTCATTGGTCAGTTCAGGAAAGCTATGTAAAATTGGTCAAGTTGTTACCTTTGGAAGGGTAGTTTATAGGAAGGAGGCTTATTTTTCATGCATAGGGCTCCCTGCTCAGCGGGGAGTCTCCTCCTTCTCCCTTTGTCCCTCCTCCTGCTCATGCTCCCTCTCTCAAATATATAAACAAAATCTTTAAAAAACATATTTATATTTTGGGAGTGAGTTTGCAGTTGTTTGATTTTTCTTTTCTATTTTTTTGGATTATATAATACTTTTAATATAATAATTTTAATAATTAAAAAATACTAGGAGTTAGGTTACTGAAAACAAGTAAACTATGGGTATTTAAAAATGAAAGCCTAGAATTGAATTTTAATCATTTAAAAATATATGAAAGAACATCATGGGTAGAGTATGGCTAAGGGTAGGATAAGAAGGAATGGAAATTCACAATAGCCAAAAGGTAGAAATAACCCAAATGTCCATAGACAAAGAAAGAGATAAACAAAATGTAGTATTACACATACAATGGAATAGTATTCAACATTTAAAAGGAAGGATATTCAGACACATGCTACACATGGGTGAATCTTTTAAGGTAAGTGAAATAAGCCAGTCACAACAGGACAAATATTATATGATTGCACTTACTGGGATACCTAGAATAGTAAGATTTATAGAGACACAGAAGGTAGAGTAATGGTTGACCGGGGCTAGGGGGTGGGAGAGATGGGGCTTTATTGTTGAATGGGTGTGAAGTTTCAGTTGGGGAAGTTGAAAAAGTTCTTGAGATGGATGATGGTAATGGTTGTAGGCATTATGAATGTACTTAATGTCGCTGAACTATATACTTAAAAATGGTTAAGACATTACATTTCATTGTACGTATTGTACTGTAGTTGGGGGAAAAAAAAAGGAATGGACTTAAATTTGAGTAGAAACTAATTTAGGTTAGGTCAAATGGGCAGATAGAGCTGGTTTGGTCCACTGTGGCTAGAGTGACTTTGTGGCTAGTATCACAAAGCTGTGCCACTGATTCAGGGAATAAGGGAGAAATGGCAGGATCTACTACATGTATTTTTCCCTGCTTCCTCTGCTATTTACACTGCTAGTTTAGAAGGTATTGGTAAATAATGACTGAGATTATGGCTGGATATTTACTCTTTCTGGACATAGTAAAGAAAAGAAAGTAAGTTCTTAATAAAACCATTCTGAAAACAGTATAATATGAAGACGAAGTTATGGAAGGAACGGAAGAAAATAGATGTTTATATGATAGTTTTAACTACGTAAAAATTAAAAACTTCTCTGTGTTAAAATGCACAATAAAGAAAACTGAAAGACAGCAGATATGGAAAAGGGCATACAGTATATAGGAAGGGAAAAATTGCCATCTTTAATGTGTAAGAACTTTCATAAATTATTAATTTGAATATTAATAAGAGAAAACTGAACATTACAACTGGAAAAATGTGTAAAGGTTAGAAAAGACCATTTACAAAAGAAGAAATATAAGCACTTTTTTAAATGAAAGATGAGTAATGGAATGAGAATATTCTGGATAAAATATCCAATGGTTGGGGCTCTTGGGTAGCTCAGTTGGTTAAGTGACCAACTCTTGATTTGGCTCAGGTCAGGATCTCAAGGTAGTGAGATGGAGCCCTGAGTCCTGTCAGGCACCATGCTCAGTGTGGAGTCTGCTTGAGGTTCTTTCTCTTTCTCTGCCCCTCTGCCACTCAGATGTTCTCTCTCTCTCTCAAAATAAATAGAATCTTTTTAAAAAAAGATTTTCTTTATTTACTTGACACAGAGAAAGAGGGAGAGAGAGAAAGAGAGAGACAGTGAGAGATGGAACACAAGCATGGGTAGTGGGAGAGGGAGAAGGAGTCTTCCCACTGAGCTGGGAGCCTGATGCAGGACTTGATCCCAGGGCCCTGGGGTCATGACCTGAGCTGAAGGCAGACACTTAAAGAGTGAGCCACCCAGGCTCCCTAAAATAAAATAAAATCTTAAAAAAAGATCCAGTGGTCATCACCCTGCCTCTGGAAATTAATCCACCTAAACTTCATGTCAGATTTTTTCCCAGTTGTCTGAAGAAACGGTATTTGTTCAAGACCCTTGTATCCTATTTCCAAGAGCTCCCACCTTATAAGCGATAGGTATTTATATCTATTGCCTTACTTTTTAAATGATTCCATTTGTTTTATTGCTCAAAGGATATGAAAACAAACTAAGTGAATGTTTATATATGTTCCCTTCAGAAATAAGCGAAACCAGTGAATCACTGAAAACCAAAATGTCTGAACTTCGCCTCTACTGTGATCTCCTAATGCAGCAAGTTCATACTATCCAAGAATTTGTTCACCATGATGAGAATCATTCATCTCCCAGCATGGAGGTACACAGAAATGATCCCTTTATGTCTGGTTATGCTTTGTAATACCCTGATGGGTGAGGTTCTTCCCAAGGGATGACAGAGAAGCATTTTCTAAATGAGCTGTTTTTAGCTACTCTGAGCTGTCCCTACTACAGACTCTGGATATCTGTAGGATCTTCTAGATTATATCTGTGCAACCAGAGGAAAGCAGGAAGCAGCACATTTCTCTGGGAAATCAAGGCATATTTTTGCAGCCAATCTGATGATTTGGAGGTTGGGGTGGGGAAGAAGCATTCCAGACTTTGTTTTCTGGACTGGAATCATTAGGCAACCGCTGTTCTCTTTCTTTTGGTATATAAGGCCCCAGTTTCAGTGACTGAGAGGTGATAATTTAGCTATTATCAAAGAACTTTTAAAAAGTGTCCTCAGAAGAATAACACAGGAATCAAATTTCAGATTTGTGGGGCCCAGCTCTGAAATAGGTTCACACTTTCTGATAAAAGAGCGTCAGTGGGCCCTCCTTTTCTCTGGGTGGGAGGCCGGCATGGTTCCCAGTCTCCTACCTGACTTGGGAGAAATGGGACAAGAAATCTTCCTGTCCCTCCCGTGGCCTTCTCCTGGTGGGAAGTAATCTTCCGTGAGGTCACCTCTGGTTGCAGGCACGTGAAACCAGAAGGGCATTTACTGTTTCACCATAAGCTCTCTGGAGGTAGGTGCCCTCACATTTGCTCCGGCAGCTCTGTGGTGGTTTTGAACACTTGGGCTTGTTCTGTCCTTCCACTCTGCCGTTCTTGGTGTATTCAATTTTCCCCTCTGCCCAAGGCTTCAGGGTGACTTCTAACGTCACACAGGTGCAGGAGGCAGTTGGGATAACCAGAGTGGAAAAAGACCTTCTCAATTTGCTGTCCTTGGCTTTTATCCAGGAACAAAAGTCTCAGCAACTCCTCAGTGGACTTCTTATTTTTTTATTTTTATTTTTATTTTTTTTGGTCTGGGTCAAAGGAAACTGAAGAAATACCAATATTTGACAAAGGTCATGGACTAACCATGACTGGCTCAGACCAGTCTGTATTCACCCACCAGGGTCAGGACACATTGCTGTCCCAAAAAAAAAAAAAAAAAAAAAAAAAAGATTGGGGTTTGTATTCTACCAAGGAAGAAGTAAGAGAAGGGGTTGGAGGTAGATATGAATTGTGCCTGCCACTAAGTAACTAAGTAACTCTCAGGGTGTTCTACTGCTGTCACCTCCTTCAGAATTTGGATGCTTAGAAAATTACTGTTTAGTTAGGTTTATCTAAGATACATTTTTGTACATAGTTTTTAATAGGATTGGTATTTGGTTTAAATGCAAAACTGATTTTTTCTTAGACTCTAATTCATGCATTGTTTGCTTGATAGGCATTTCTTATTCCTGTATTGCTTTAATTTTCTAAGGTAGTATATTTTGAGTAGATTTGCCCAAGCTAGTAAGGTGTCTGTTGGAGGTAATGTTTAGTCACTTGGTTAGAACATAGTGCATGAGTCCATGTAGTCATGTGTGAGTCTGTTCAACTCTGCGTAATTTTTCAGAACATGAATGAAGCCTCTTCTCTGCTTAGTGCCACGTGTAATACATTCATCACAACACTTGAGGAATGTGTGAAGATAGCGAATGCCAAGTTTAAACCTGAGATGTTTCAGCTGTCCCATCCGGATCCCTTGGTTTCTCCTGTGTCACCTTCTCCTGTTCAGATGGTTAGGAATTGTTTTTGTTTGTTTGTTTGTTTGTTTGTTTTTTCCCAGTGATGTTGCATGTTTGTTTCTGTTTTTATTTTTAAGGGAGGAAACTGGCAGTGGGAGGGAAATAGTCAACAAATCGAATCAACAGATCTAACATCTTCAGTGTTGGAGCCTCTCAGGTCTTTGGGGTTAGAATGTGCCAAGGTCCTGATTGCCTCCCCTTGGAGGACCGTGCCATTTATCCCAGCATGCTGGGGAAATATTAAAATGCTCTGTGGGTGTTGGGACACAGAAGAGGTTGGGGGCACTGCTCTCCTTGGGACAAAATGAGGGATAAAATTAAGCAAAGGGATAAAATCAAATCTTAAAGGAGTTGTAAAGAGTTTGAAGCAACATGATATAGGGAAAACAGTATTTTGTAGTCAGTATTTGGATTTGAGCCCTCTGAGTAGGCAAGTTCCTTAATCTCTCTGGACCTCATTTTCTTCATCTCTAAAATAAAGGGCCTCCTCCATCAGCAGGTCATTGCAAAGGGGCTGACCTGTTTAACACAGGTGATTTTTTTAGTTTCTTTCTTTCTGATTGCCCTGAACAACCAGTACTCTTTGCTGGGGGCAGTGGACTTGTTGTCCTTCCCAAGCTAATAAACTCGCTCAGGTAAGCTATACAGAACTCACAGGTGAGACAAGAGTTTGATGAAACTTTTACATTTCTTTCATCCAGGTGTTTTCAGGAATATATATTTGTATGTATGTGTGTGTGTATAGATATACACACACACACACACACACACACATATATGCGTATGTATGTATACATGTGTGTATATATATATGTATATATACATATATATGTATACTTTTTTTAAAAAGATTTTATTTATTTGTCAGAGAGAGGCAGAGAGAGAAACAAGCGGGGGCAGTGGCAGGCAGAGGGAGAAGTAGGCTCCCTACTGAGCAAGGAGCCCAACGTGGGACTTGATCCCAGGACCTGGGATCATGACCTGAGCCAAAGACAGACGCTTAACCAACTGAATCATGCAGGCATCCCAGGAGCCCTTTTATAGAAGGAAGAATGTCACCTGGTACTATTTTAGCAATTTCTTGAAGGCTTATTTGTTAGAAGAAGGAATAGGATAGAACTTACTTATTTCTAGGTTCTTTTATCCACCCCGGCCAATTTAGCAATATGAGATTAAGTAAAGATTATTACCTGAATTTATTTAGATCATTGTTTTCTAATCAATGTGTGATGCACTAATAACGTCCCCTGGGACAGGCATACTATGAAAATGGGTTTTATGGGAAAATTAAATTGGCAAATGCTAGATTAACTTGAATGAATTGGGTTTCTCTGTCATAGGACTTCTTAGAACTTCTTTTATGCTAACATGTATTATGAATCTCTGAGGAGTGGTGGTATGTCTTGTTTCTGAAATTTATTTGACCCTTTTTGTGTATTTTTGAATAACATCTCATAGGACAGTAGCATTCAGTAGAACAGTTTGACAGTACTGCTTTATAAAACAGTTATGAAACAATTATGAAATAACCTCTATGGTTGAACAAGAAAAGATATTTTGAGATGGGTGTATATATATTATAGTGTTATATTCCTAGATTGGGCGCGTTCAGGATGGTATGGTGGTAGATGTCTGTTTTAGGGCTGTGTTCCTGAGGTTGATACATAAGGGCTACACTGTTTTTTAAGGTGTTAAGTACAGACTTTACTACAAATTCTACTGTATTTGACTTCATAAAATCAAATGCAATAAAACTGCCTCAAAACTGCCTTTTTTTTGGTATTAGATTTCTGAGGAAAATGCCTTCTGTTACAAATGCTCTGTAGTTGAGAGAGGTCATATGTATATTTTATGTCTAAGAAACTATAATAACTTTCCGTTTTAAACCAAAACCTTTTATCAGTAGCAGCAGTACAGGAAAGTCCAATAAGCTAATCTAAAAAATACTGGCTAGGGACTATTTATTTTTACTTGCTTTGCCATTTTATTTCATACATCAAGCAAAAATTATGGCATATGATAATTAGTTCTGGAGGCATAGCATGGAAAAAAGTTCAGACAGTCTTTTTGGGAAAATCTTTTTTTTTTTTCTTTTTAATAATATGAGTAAATAGAAAATAAAGCTATGAAAGATTTGAGAATTCTAAAACTATTTCAACTGATTTTTTAAAAATTTATTTATTTATTTGACAGAGAGATCACAAGTAGGCAGAGAGGCAAGCAGAGACAGAGGAGGAAGCAGGCTCCCCACTGAGCAGAGAGCCCAATGTGGGGCTCGATCCCAGACCCTGGGATCATGACCTGAGCCGAAGGCAGAGGCTTTAACCCACTGAGCCACCCAGGTGCCCCTAAACTGATTTTTAAACTACTTTATGTAGTTAATCTTACTGTGTCCCTTCCTAGAATAAATGTGCATTCGGTTTTATTTCAAATCATAATCAGAAGTTCAAACAATCGTCATTTCACCCACAGATTGAATAATTGTAGTTGGGATGTCCTTAGGTGAGTAATCCCAAAGGACTTGACTTCTGTTAAAGGAGATGTTAATGTCCATCTGCAGCTTAATGTCAATCATATTAGTGTTCTTGGACTATAAATTGGGTTGGTCATATCTGTTATCATTTCAACTGGGACTTCTTTGAGCACCTGGTGGCTCCTGTTACAAATACAGCAGGCATTTACATAACTCAGATGTTAGACTTGGACTTGTAAGACCCTTGAGCCCCTGCATGTAAAAGCAAATGACCTTATCCTGTAGTATAAACTTTGCTTTTCAGCTGCCTTGCTAAACATTGAAATAATCTATTTTAATTGGGGATCTCCTTCAATTTTTTTGGTGGAGTAGTTGGATCTTTTAAATTAAATTTGGTATTTGTCATATTTGTTAGTGCTCTTAATTATGTTTTTTAAAATTATTTTAAAATACATGTTTTAGAGACCTATTTGAGACTTAGGATTCTTCTTCTGAGTTCTTTAAAGACTTGAATTACTAATGCCATCTTCCATGAAAACCATACTTTAGAACATCTGTGTAACAGCTACCTGAATAATGAATTATAAAGAGAAGATTTGCTACCAGATTCTTTTCCTGGCCTTTAAGAAAAAGAGAGGGAGTGATATTAGATTATTTTGTGGCTTGCTATATATTCCTTTAAATAGTATGGTTTTTTGGGTTGGTTATATACATTTTTTATATTTTTATATATAAGCACACACTCAGACATATAGGATACATATAAAATTTGATTTCTATTACTGAGGAAAGAATCTAGCTTGTTTTTGATATGTGTTGAGAAAGATTCCAATTAATGGTTATTAGGGACAGAGCTTGACATTGTGCTGATAGTGTTGCTTGAGTTTATAAAAGATAAATTTCTTGGCCAGTCATCTTTTCCTCTGAGCAGATTTGTGTTAATTATAATAATGATAATAAATCAGAACTGTATTATTCTACTTGGTGTATGGATTATGCTCATTATCCTTTTCTGTTTCTAGATGAAGCGTTCTGTCAGCCATCCTGGTTCTTGCAGTTCAGAGAGGTAAAATAAACTTTTCTTCTAGTCAAGTTCTCTCAAAATTATACCTACTCAGAGAAGTTTTTTGGGCCTTTAACATGAAGTAGTGTGGGTTGGCAACTTTTTGAGCAGAGCCTGGTTCTGATTTGCTTAGCATTGTATCTAAGTAGAGGGCCTAGCCCCTGTAGGTAGTCAGTGAAGATAAAAATGAGTGAATAAATTCACCAGCAAGGTAAACACCTTGTCAGCTCTTGTACCTTTTTTAAATGTTTGAAATTATATTAAGTGATGGTTATAGAAATCCATTTTGAGGTACTGGGGGGTCCAAAGCTTAGGCTTACTTTATGACAGCTTTCTATAGTCTTACATTCATTCTGATCTGTTGTTTTGTTAAGAGTTGAAGATCTTATTGAAAAAAGAGAAAAACCAATTGATACTTTAAAGTATATATTCATAGCAACACATTTAAGACATTTATCTTCTAGATAGATCTTGCTAATATCCCAGGCTACTAAAGTGTTCTTTATCTTGGTAGGTCTTTTAAGTTGCTCTGATTGGTTCTTTGGAAAACAATGAAATTGTAGTGGCATTAGCTTTTATTTCTCTACATTAAGAAAAAGTGCTAACTGAGCCCTTAGTATTGTCACTCCCTCCAACCCCCCACCATGAGTATGTAACCTCTGAACTATCTTGTGCTCAGAGGAGCCCTGCGATGTATACATACCTGATCTTGTCAGGGAGTGAAAGAGTTTCACCAGTTAAGTAAAAGCTTGATCCCTTTTACAAACTTATTTTTGTGATAGATATTTTTCTGAACTGTATTTTATCCTTTCTACCTTATTAGATAAAATATAACTAGAATTTAAAAAAAAAATGGGCTGGATATCACAACCTGAGATCAGGACCCTGAAGTCAGAACCTGAGCCAAAACCAAGAGTCAGACGCTTAGCCAACTGTGCCACGTGGGTGCCCCATGTAGGTGCCCCAAATATAATTAGAATTTTAAAATTATATTTTCTTGATAAATCAGGATAGTCATTATGAACAGTAATGTTGGGCTTTCCATACAGTGGTAGCTGAAGTGCTGTTGAGTGGTGCCGATTTGCTTCTGTGCTGGATATTTTAGATTGATTTTTCTAGTGTTCCAAGCTATTTTTTATTTATTTGTTTTTTTTGTTAATTTATTTGAGAGAGCACACGTGAGAGGTGGGGGAAGGAGCAGAGGGAGAGGGACAAGCAGACTTCAGCATTAAGTGGGAAGCCAGACACCAGGGCTCAGTCTTACCACACTGAGATCATGGCCTGCCTGAGCTGAAATCGACAGTCTTTGCTTACCTGACTGAGTCACCCAGTCGCCCCACAGACTGCTTTTTTAAAAATAGTTTTTGTAGCTTCTATTTGCCAGGGCTATTTGTTTTTCCTGCTGTCAGGGAGCTGACCTCTAGCATGTTCTTGCCTGCTTGCCTATCCCCTTCACACTGCTATTTTTGATCAGATATGGATTGACACTAGATACATGTACTTGTGAAGTCATAACTTTTGGTTTTTGAAATTTGTTAACCATCTGATATGTCTACGGTCTCACTGGACCCTTCTCTGTAAAAGAAGTTGCTTTCTTTTACCCCCTTTCCATTTAGTTTGGCTCAGAGGTCTTATTCTTCAGGTTACCAGCTGGATTCTAAATGATTTGACTTGCCTGTGGCCTGACCTCTGAAGGAATCAAAAGTTGCTAAAATAAAAATTTGGAAATAAAAATAGTTCCACTTTCATTTAAAGAAGTCATTTAAAACTCCAGTTAAGGGGTGCCTGGGTGGTTCAGTCCATTAAGTGTCTGACTCGATTTCGGCTCAAGTCATACATTCAGGGTCATGAGACCAAGGCCCATGTCTGGTTCGTGCTGAGTCTAGAGCTTGCCCCAGATTCTCCCTCTCCCTCTGACCCTCCTGCCCTACCCGCATCCTCCACTGACGTGTGGGCTCACTCTCTCTAAAAACAAACAAAAAAAACCCCCACTCCAGTTAAGGGTATTATCATTTGTTTAAGGCCATACAATGTAATGCATTTTATTTACTTTGTAGGAGTAGCCACTCTGTAAGAGAACCAGTATCTACACATCACCGACTCGCCCAGCGCCGCCGAAGAACCTACTCAGATACAGACTCTTGTAATGACATTTCTCTTGAAGACCCAGATAGTGAGTTAAATGGGGCTCTGTCTCTTTTTTTGGCTTATTCTCCAGAATTATTGTGGTGCCCTCTAAGCAGGATACTGAGAGTCAACACCGTACTTTGCCCTTGGATTCATTCCTTAATTCAGAGCTAGGCAAACAGCACACAATCCACAGAAGCTCATATTTCCTCTTACAGACACCTTTGTTATTAACTAAGAAGTGCTGAATACATCTGTGTAAGTGCCATATCTTTGATTTATAGATATAACATCAAAAGTTTTCTTCCCACTACATTTTAGTAATCTCTTAGTAATGTTCTACTCCCACTGTATTTACATTTCAAAAACATTTTAGAAGAAAGCGTGAATTGTGGGTAGGATTCTAGGGGAAAATAAAGGCAAGGTCTAAGTTCAGAGAAAAAAAATCAGCATTGTTACTTAAATAATTTGAAAGGGCTAAATTTTTCAGGTGGTGGTGGTGAATTATAGTAGCATTTATTTTTGTACCTTTTTCCTCCCTTTTTCTTTAAAGAGGCAACATACTGTGATTGAATACTTTAGGAAAGGTTTTGTGATTTATGTTCAAATTTAGTTATTTTCTCTTCAGAGAGAAAGCTTTGAAACTATGTCAGAATATCTAGTTAGACAGTAGTGACCGTGATTTCTAGTGAACACAAATAAGGTCTTACTATTATGACTCCATTAGTAGACTTTTGCTTTTCGGAGTCTTTACTCTTGACCATGAAACATGTGTGATGGAAATTACATATAGTTCCTACTTAGGGGATAGGTTGTGTTCCAAGAATTTGTAAGTCTGTTGTTTGGAACACAGATTTTATTTCTCTTGTGGAAATGACATCATAAACCGTGTTTCAATTTCTTTAGGTTGCCTGGAAGAGCCCAGCTAATTCACTTTGATTAACATTTGTTTTACTGAACCAGAAAGTTAAACGGGTTTAATGAGAGGGGAAGATAGAGTTTGTGAAGATGGTGGAGATTAGAGAGGGACTGCTGGTCATTTTCAGATTTTTAGAAGATGGTGACATTTTTTTTTGTCCATTTTTCTTACAGAACACTGTAAGAGCACTACTTATTGCCATTTTTGAATTTAAGTTGGGACAGTGGGTAAAAGAAGGAAGGAAAAAGGGTGAGGGTGGGAAGGGGGAAGGAGAAAGAAACTTTTCCAGGCTGATTTAGTACAACTTGGAGGAGATAAGAGGAAGAGGGTTAGAGGTTAGGTGTGGAAAGAAAAGTTACCAGAGGCAAGTAGCGTAGATTCTGATTTACTTTGTTCTTTCTGCCTGGTTTACGTGACTCTTTGAGTCTAGAGCCCATGAAAGGGTTCTATATGCTGCCTTGTACTTTTCTGTAGATGCTCTCCTTTTTACTCTAAGGGGATCATTTTCATTTGTGATGGTAAAAGTAATTTTTTAAAAAATCCAGCCATTTTTCTTAGCTCTCTTTTAAGCACTCTGGTTTTGATTTTTGAAAACAATTTCCATAAGCTCTCAGTGCACATGCCCGAGTCCATTTGGCATTCCCATAGCTAGCTGTTAAGGAGTGTAACAGAACCAGTCACACATACTGCACACACATGTACACACACACATGAAATCCCTGTTTATATACATACATGTATCTCAGGTCTCTAGGTCAGAAGTTTTATCCTTAGATTTCCTTCTGTTTATCCTAAAGTTTAGTGTCTCAGTTAGTTGATAAAGCGGAGACTGCATTTTAGTGCTCTTCTTTAGAAAGTACGTGTTTTGCAATTGGGCAGTCTTAATGGCGGCCCCACTAAGAATGTTTATCCCCAAATATTCTTTTCCTTGAGAGAGAAAATGCCTTCTATTTTTTATTAACTAGATTTAAGAAAATTATAAAAGTAGTAATTGTTCATGGTAAAATCAAATACCATGTACATATAAAAGCGCAGTTGTTTTGAGGTGGGGCCATGCCAGGGCTCTCAGCCCGCAGCTGCAGCAACAGGTTCTGTGAGTTGTATTCCACGTGGAAATATAGGGACTCCTGGTGACAGGTACCTTGTCAGTTTTGCTCAGGAAGTTGTTCTATTACCAGTTGTGTGATCTTGGGTTAGGCATATAACCTTTTTCAAGTCTTATTTTTTTGTTTTTTGTTTTTCCCTAGAAAACAAGGGGGATACTAACAGCATTACCACAGTCAGGCTGAAGAAGCCATAGTTAACCAAGACCACATTCACTTCAGCACATATTTCTGACTGCCCATTATGTGCCAACTGTGCTTCTAGCAGTGAACAAAACAAATGTCTCTACTTCTGGTAGCCTCATAATTTATTTCCTTAACTATGAAGTTTCTCCTTATGATTGCCAATAGCAGGAAAGTGAGATTTTTCTCTCCTAGGCAAACAGTCAAAACATTAATAGGAAGCTGAAGGAATTTCATGTCCCTAACTAGGAAATTTAAGTTGTTGTTTTTTTTTTTCCACAGAGAACTGGAGTTCGTATCGATAGGGTGTTTAACCGTTTAATTAATTTCTTCATAGGACCTGTTCACTGTTCAAGAAATACACTCAATGGAGATTTGACATCAGCAACAATTCCTGAAGAAAGCAGACTTATGGCCAAAAAAAAATCTGAATCGGAAGATCCTCTTCCATCCTTCTCTTCCTGAGGAAACGGAAGTGTCCAACTTCCTCTAAGTATTGCTATGCAAAAGCTGCTGTAATTAAACTATGTTATAGGGAGTAGTTTTTCCCTTAGGATTTCTCTGCACTTTATAGAATACTGTAAAACAAACAACAACAAAAAAACAACCCACATACCTTTGAAGTGTATTTTATCTTTATATAGTTTATTTGCAAGAGTATTTTCCTAATAACTTCACAGTATGAATGTGCATCTTTTTTTTTTTTTTTTTAAACAAATGATGGTGTAACATTTTGACCTCCATAAGGACAAATGTAGATATTTTTCTAAAAAACTGTGAGGGACTGACAGATGAGTCAGTGTGTATTGTAGCTTATAAACATGAAATCTTAGAAACATAAGGTTTCTGTTTGACAGAAGTGTGATATATGTAACTTGTGCCATGGACCAGACGGTCACTTTACCCCAGCTAAAAATGAGTTATGATAGCAGCTTGATGGAGATTCTATTGTATTCCTTTAAGCAAAAGGAAACATTTAATATTCTAAATATTTTTAGCCCGAATACCGTGACATATTGAGGATTTTTTAAAAACCAGACTGTGCTGTCCTTCACATGTGAAGTTGACACTACTGATTTGTCAATACCAAATGTTGGGTTAAAGTATTTAACTTTTATTTATTTATTTTTCTGTTGCATCAAAAAAATGATTGCATCCTAACTTTTATGACCTACCAAATTTAAGATGTGTATACATTGTTATTTACATTGTTCTAGAAAAGAGGTTAATTTGTAGTGACCTTGCTCACTTATACCAGAGAAATAAATGCCTTTCAATGGAAGAGGATTTTAGTGCTTTTTTTTCCTAAAATAGACATTAAGCTGCTGTTGTAAGGTATTAATGTTTGCAGCTGTAGACTATCTAGGGACATTTTTTAATTTATGACTATTTATACAAAAAAGGAATTCTGTCAAGGTGACTGCTCTACATCACTTGAGAATGGCATTATTTAATTAAAGAACGAATAGCATTTTTTCTATGCCTGTCCATACCTATTGTCAGTGTTTGCCTTGTAAACTGTTTTTTTTTTTTTAATTCATTTTGGAGGGATGGTTTTGTCCAAGGTCTTGGATGAGGAGCACTTTAAAACAAACTGGTTTGGTGTTTTTAAGTTAATCACATGTTTAATAAATATATGGTTTTTGCATTCAAACTCCTCATATAATACATTGTATTTTTTATATTATTGATACTCTGTCTAATCTTTATCAAGTGCTGTTAGTGTTCTTTATTGCTTTGGTTTTGTTTGTATATTTTTTTGGTTTGTTGCATATTTTTTGAGGCATATTTTTTGGTTTGTTGCCTATGAGCTTAGACTAGTGTGGCCTATTTCACTTTAAATTTTTCTCGTAGGTTTATGTAGGACTTTTTTAAAAGAGTTAATATTTGCTATTTACTTCACTAAAAATAAATCTGTAATTATAAGTTTAAAATGGACATAAACAATCTAAATACATTAATATTCATTTAGATAAACTGTATGCTACTTTAAAGTATTTGTGATTTTAAATAGCACACAGATCATTAGACTTAAGTGGAATTTTTTTCTGCTCATATGTTGTATTTCATATGTTTGATTTGAGAAAATTTTAATGATGTAAGTTTCATGTTGAGTGAGTAATCAGAATTTTTGCTTTTTTTTTGTGGTAGTAAGAATTTGCATAGTGATTAGATCATGAAAGTCAAGGTGCTACTGATAGGGCGTTTTCAGTTTGGTATTTTTTTTGTTTTGAACCAGTAGGTTTATAATGAAAACACTATACCAGGCTTTTGAACTCATAGGAAATAAATCCATTTTTTATTGCTTTATCCAAAAAGATGAGTTCTTGAATAGTTTTCTGTAAATATTTTTTAAAATAAAATACTATCATTTCTGGGTCGCATCATTTTTTTCCACCTTGAAATGGGTGCTTTGAACAGGTGTTGCCATATTCCTCAGTATGGTTTTTATTGTTACTGGAATCTGCTTTTTCCCCTTAGGAACAAACACATTTGTGAAATCATTTTTTGGGGGGAGTATAAATGTATCCTGAATGACATCTAGATTTGAATTAGTGACTTGATGGCATGAAGCAACGTGTAGAGCCTCAGCGAACCTTGGGCTTTGAGGAGCCCTCTGTATGTTCAAGTATGGCCTGACTTTTCTGAATTGTAAGAAAAAGGTAAACCAAATAAGAACAATTCTATAAGAATTTTAGCTTGTCAGAATTTTCTGTAATGTATAGGTATTGGTTTTTTGCTTTGTCTAGGCCTTGAGGTTATCGAGAAACTTGGGGACTTCTGGTATATCATTAATCTTCTAAGCAAGGCCAGTGCTGCTTTTCTTTCTGAGTGCCTGGTTTCTGTTGTGTGAGAACCCAAGCTTCCACGGTTAAAGTGACTTGGATGCAAATTCTTTTCTAACTGGACTACATTTGAATCCTGTTATGTTACATTGAATTATTATGTTATCTTTAATCAAGACAGGTTGAGAAATGGTTGCTGTTTCTTGAATTTAGTTCTACAGCAGGAGATGAAGTATCTTTATTTCCATAGTCACCATGGAACCTTTGACCCTAAAGTGTAGTTTTTCACTGTGCATTCTTACACTTGGTGTTTAAGTTAGAAATCATCATGCAGATCTCAGGAAATATATCTTTGTAATATCTTACTATTATACTGCTGTTAATACTAATTCCATGTATATTACTGTATCATTAATTGGGTTCTACCAGTTCTTACCCCACCCCTTTTTTTTAATTAAATGAAGTGCCTCCAGGTCTGTCCTTTGAGCCTTGCTGTTGCCCTTTGGTGGAGAGGGTATGACCCGGCCGGAAAGAAAGCCTGGTGAGGCTGGAGCACCTTGTAGGAGGTCTGTCTTTTAGTAGCTCAGGTGGGGTAAGCAGGTTGTAGCTAGTAAAGAGGGTTTCCTTTTCTTGTCTTTCCCATTCCCCAGTTCTCTGTTCTTGGAATTCATACCAAATTTGTCAATGAAAAGCATCTTTTAAAAATTTCTTTTTATTAAAAAGTAACTCATGCACATAGTTCATAGTGAAAAAAAGGTCCTCCACCCCGGCTTAGTGCCCCAGAGATAAGCACTTTCAGCTCTTACCGGTTATTTCCTACTTGAAAATATGTTGTGTTCCTTTGTCTTGATTTATCAATTTCAGAAATGCTTTCTTGAGTTTCTTTCAGAGCAAGCAGGATTTGCTTTTCTTATATCTCTCCCTCCCCCCTATTGCTTCCCTATCTCTCCCAATCTCCCTATAGGTTAGCTGCAGATTTTTATAAAATCAGTAGCTACATGGTAGTTCCCATTTATCTGCTGTTTTGCATTCTGTGGCTTCGCTTGCTTTGGCTTCAGTTACCCACACTTAGTCGCCGTCTGGAAGCAAGTGATCATCCTTATGTCATCAGGGCAATAGTAGCCTAACATGTCACAGTGCCTGCGTCAATTACCTCCCTGTGTCTCATCCCGTAGACGCATTATCATCTCATGTTGTCCAAGGAGAAGGGTGAATACGATATTAGAGAGAGAGACCACATTCACTGAACTTTTATTGCAGTATGTTGTTATAATTGTTCCATTTTATTAGCAGTTGTTAATCTGTTACTGAGCCTAATTTATAAGTTAACTCTATCAGAGGTATATATGCATAGGGAAAAACATAGCGTGTTTTGGGTTCGGTGCTAGCTGCAGTTTCAGGGGTCTCCTGGGGGCCTTGGAATGGGTCCCCAGGGATAAGGGGGGTACTGCTATAAATGTTGGTCATTCATGAATGGTAGGGTGATCTATCAGTATTTCTTCTCTACTAGGCCCTTATTTTCCCCAGAATTAATAACTGCCTGATTTTAAAATTTTGCTTGGTTTTTTATATACCTATCACAAAGATTATCCAAAGGCTTAAGTGCTCAAAAACATCAAATAATCTATCAGTTCCTTTTTTTTTTTTTTTAAACCTTTGGAGACCTTTCTTCTACAATCCTTTGTCTTCTGCCATCTGGACTGTTGCTTTTCAGGCCAGTTCATGGCTCGGCAGTCATTCTGGGACCTATTCTGTTTTTTGGTCTTACGTTGCATTTCCTGTTTATTGGATCCTATGACTTCCTCTTTCTTGATTTAATGCCTTTTTTTTTGCTAAAGTGTATTCACCGCTGAAAACTTGCTTGGAAAAGTGCATGAGAGGTGAAGATTTTGAAGCTTTACAGGTCTGAAAATGTCTCTGCTCTTGATGGACTGGTAGTTTGGAGTGTATGTTGAAAATAATTTTTTCTCAGAATTTTAAAGGCAGTGCCACATTATCTTATTGTATTTGTTATTTTTATGAGATTTCTGATACTAATTTTTACACAGACCTGCTTTTACACTCTGGAGGCTTTTAGGAGCTTCTCCCTACCCCTGATGTTTCATGATGTTGTGTGGGTCTTTGCTGATTCATGTTGTTGGGTACTCGACTTGGTGGAGTCCTTCAATTTGGAGACTTGTCTACTTAACTTCTGGGAGTATTTTGTGTTATCTTTCTGATAATTTTCTCTCCTCCTTTTTCTCTAGCCTGTTTTTCTAGAATTTCTGTTATTTAAATGCTGGATCTTCCAGATTAAGCCTCTAATTTAAAAAATTTTTCCTCTCCAGTTTCTCTTGAATTATATATCATCTTCCAGCTCTCCTGAAATTTTAAAAACTATTTTAACATCTTTCTTTCTTTCTTTCTTTTTCTTTCTTTCTTTCTTTCTTTTTTTGAAGATTTATTTATTTTAGAGAGAATGAGAGAGAGAGTGGGGAGGAGGCATGAGGGCCAGAGGGAGAGGGAAAGAGAGACTCTCAAGCAGACTCCCCACTGTGTCCAACATGGGCTCCATCTCACACCCCTGAGATCATGACCAAATCAAGATTCAGATGCTTAACTGACTGAGCCACCCAGGTGCCCCTGTATTTTAATTTATAAGATTTTTTTCCCCTCTTTGTTCCTTTTTTAAAAATATAATATCCTGTTGCATTTCAGTGGAGATCTTTTCTTTGGAGCCATTTGGTTTCTCTAGAAAGGACTCTTGGGTTTTGGTAGTAGGGTAGAAAAAGAGGACTAAGGACCCCACAGTTTATATGGTGACTTTTACTTAATCTCCTTCTTTCAGTCTCCCCATGTACTGTCCCCCCTGTCCACCCCTTCCAGTCGTCTTCTTGAATGGTGACCCACAGGTCACCTGTGATTGGGGGTTGGGTGGTGGGTTGGTTGTCTGGCTAGGGAGTGGACCTGGGGTCTGTTGCTTCTTATACAGACTTGTAGTCCTATGTTCAGCCCTATACTTCACCCCTTTTTTCTGTAACACCTGGTACTTCCAAGTCCTGAACTTATTAGGTACTTGGTAGAATGTATTTGTTGGTTGCTCTCTTCTGGGTAGTAAGGCTTTAACTTCCTCCATTCTGCTAGGTTATTTATCACACCTCCTCCTGTTTTTTATTTTTATAAAATCTCTTAAAATCTCATGGCTCTATAGTCTGTTCTCTTTGTCTTTATGAATTAATACATTTTATATTCCTTTAATGTCTTTTTGGTGGGGGGTTTGGAGGTAGAGAAAATAAATACAAGTGGTCAGTCTACCATATTTAACTGGAAGTCTAGTTTTGAATTCAAATAGTGTCCAGAAAATACAATTTCTTGAGTATTATTTTGTAATTTATTATTTCCACTCTGATTTTTAATTAGTGTGATTGATTCTGTTGTACTACCTACCTCATAGGGTGTTGTGAGGATTGGAAGAGTCTGTGCATATGGAGCACTGAGAACACTACTTAACACAGTAGTTGTTAAGTCAGTGTTAGCTATCGTTACTATTGTTGTTACCATTATTATTTTTACGACGATCATGCTTAATTCAGTAATCCATTTAGACTTGGATTAAGATGTTTTCATCATAGGAAGCATTTTGACATATGGGAAAATCCAGTATTTGATAATATGGACCCTACATTTAACTAGACTTCACATGAAATGTTCAGGTGTTAAAGGTTATCTCTCTAAGACACATGAAAGCCTTAAAAATCCAATCAGTAATTATTACTGTGTAAGTTTTTAGAAGTATGTAATAACAATTTTGATGTGTTTTAAAGCTTTATTGGTATTGCGTTTTGATCATCTAAATATGAAGTATGGAAAATAAACTTAGGGAGATGATTGTTTATTATGCCTTACCTACAGCCAGTAAATGTAATACTCTTTGAATATGTAGGGTATAGAAACAGAGAAATGGTGGTCTCCAATCCCTGGATCTATGACCTTGTGAGTGGTTGTACAGTTTTCAGAAAATGTGAATTGATACATCAGAATGTCTGCATTTGCTCAATTTTAAGTATTTCCTTTATATCTAGATTGACTGTATGGTAACACTGGATTCTAACTCTTGGAGGTCAAGTGGGATTAAGTGCTTACACTCCTGTTTTTATGACTAGTGAGCTACATACTTTAGAGGAGGGTTTTTCTTTTTTTGAGGGGTTTTTATTTATAAGGAGATCTGAATTCTCTCTCACTAGAGTCCCATGATTGTGACAATGGCTGTAAATATTAATACCACTAGACATGAGGAATTTTTCTATAAAAGGAATGACCAGTTTCTTAGTATGAATAAACCTCTTTGCAAATTATCAGGTTCATTTTGGTAGTACAGATGAAATGGAGACAGGGCCAGGGTTAAAACCATGCCTGCCATTAGCTTGCTGCAGGCTTTCCCACTTCCCTAGATGTGAATATTATTGTACCTTATTATTTGCTTTGATATTTCATCTCTGAAGCTTTGAGGTCTGCAGCTTTGGAGCCCTTATGCTGCCTTTTCTCCAAATGCAGTAACTAATCTAGCATATTTTCATAGGATAGAGTTTTTCCTTTCTGTCCCATAACGT